AAAATTCCAACATCCCGAAATTCCCAAATTCCCAAATCCCGAAATCCCGAAATTCCAACATCCCGAAATTCCCAAATCCCAAAATCCGGAAATCCTGACATCCCAAAATTCCCAAATCCCGAAATTCCGACATCCCGAAATTCCAACATCCCAAAATTCCCGAATTCCCAAAATTCCCAAAAATCCCGAATCCCAAAAATCCCCAAATCCCAAAATCCCAAAATCCCGAATCCCAAAAATCCCAAATCCCCAAATCTTGAAATCCCGACATCCCAAATCCTGAAATCCCAAATCCCAAAAATCCTGAATCCCAAATATCCTGAAGTTCCCAAATTCCAAATATACCGAAATTCCCAAATCCCAAAAATCACCAATCCCAAATATCCCAAAATTCCCAAAATCCCAAATCCCAAAAATCCCGAATCCCAAAAATCCCAAATCCCAAAATTCCCGAATCCTGAATCCCAAATCCCAGAAATCCCAACATCCCAAATTCCCAAAAATCCAGAATCATAAAAATCCCGAATCCCAAAAATCGCGAAAACCGAATCCCAAAAATCCCAAATCCCAAAAATTGGGATATTTTTGGGATTTTATCCTGATGTTTTGGGGATGTTTTTGGGATTTTTTTTGTGATGTTTTTGGGATTTTATCCCAATGTTTTTTGGATTTTATCCCAGTGTTTTTGGGATGGTTTTGGGATATTTTTGGGATTTTATCCTGCTGTTTTCGGGATATTTTTTGGAATTTTATCCCGCTGTTTTTGGGGATTTTATCCCGGTGTTTTTGGGATATTTTTGGGGATTTTATCCCATGGTTTTTGGGATATATTTGGGATTTTCTCCTGGTGTTTTTGGGATATTTTTGGGATTTTTCCCGGATTTTAGGGCGTGGCGGAGGCGGAGCTGGAGAAGGACATCGAGAGGACCCTGAAGATCCTGATCCGATCCCACGAGCCCGAGGTGGGATTTGGGATTTGGGATTTGGGATTTGGGATTTGGGATTTGGGATTTGGGGTTTGGGATTTGGGATTTGGGATTTGGGATTTGGGGTTTGGGGTTTGGGGTTTGGGGTTTGGGGTTTGGGATTTGGGATTTGGGATTTGGGGTTTGGGATTTGGGGTTTGGGGTTTGGGGTTTGGGGTTTGGGGTTTGGGATTTGGGATTTGGGGTTTGGGATT